CGTTGAGCAGCCCGTTGATATTGTAGTAGGCGGCTTTCTAAATGGGTCTTTGGGAAGAGTACTTCTTCAACATCGGCGGGGGACTCGCCACGGATTGTTTTGAAAATTGCCTTTTATGGGTTCGAGTCATCTACCGGTTAGGCGGTATCCTGCTGTAGCAAGTTCAGGAGAGCTTCCAACTTGGACTTAGTTTTCGCCGATATTGTTCCCAAAGGCGAGGAAGAACTTGTTTCTCTCTCCATCATCGTCGAGACATCAATAGCAAAGGAGAATAGGCTGTTTGGGGAGTCTTGTTCACGAGGAAAAGAAAAGGAGGTCGATTAAGGATAAGTATGAGTATTGTAAATCAGTTGGGTTAATCGGTTTACCTGTTTCAAGGCAATTTCCTGTGCTTGACTGGAGGAAGCAACCTGGAGTATGCCGTGTGGGGGATCGGCTGAGCTTGCCGATGGGATATCCTCTGTGACTTCATCGGTGGTTGGCTCTTGAGGTATGATGACCGATGACATTGGGGCAGATGTAGGGATCGGCATGGACCTTTGTCGTTTTTGGCGTGCTCAAAGATTCGTTAAAGCTTTGCGCTTTGCTTGGGCATCGGCAACGATTGGTCGGGGGGCATCGGCACTTGTTGGTTGTGAAGCTTGGATATCCGTACGCTTGCCGATGTACCCAATTGTTTGTCGCAAAACAAGTGTAAGGTATAATATTTAATGAGATAAAATGAAAAGTCAAGAGGATACCTACGAAGGTTTGTCAAAAGAAGTGGTGCTTGATATCGGAGGAATTGCCGATGACGATCCAAAGAATGACTCTACCCCCGATGGTTAATGTTAATACAGTTTGTGATCGGCATAAGTAGAAATAAACAGGGTTGTTACCTTGAATGCCTTGACCAAGGTTGTAGCAGCAGCCGATGGAGTGGCCCTAGCTGTAGCCAATTTGGACTTAGAGGTGATGGTCTTGGTACGGATCTTCTAGTGAGTCAAAGCAGTTAAGGTGGGGGCGTTGTAGCCAATCGATGATATCGGAGAAATAGGCTGAAGATCGAAGGGTTTCCACTTTTGCTCACAGATGGTCTTTGGGTTGTTAACTTTGTCATAAGAGAGTCGCCATCTTGATATATGAAGGGAAAAGGTAGGGAGTTAAAAGAAACTTATCTGCGTCGTCGGGGATGGCATATTCGTGGTCGATCATGTGCCGATATGTGTGAGCGAAGTTGCAAAGCAGTTGTTCCTTCCTCTCGCCACCATTGCTTATATGACTTCGGTGATGAAGGATCTTTGGCGCCCGGTGGATATATCAACATCTCGTAGTATCGGCATCGGGGGAGAGTTGTACTACCTTGTTCCAATCTGTTCCACAGGTGATTGTTTCTCTGGGTTTGATCACATCGGCAAAGCAAAGTTTGATTGGCAGTTGCCCAAAAGCCAATTGACGGGATACTGCCGATGGATTGTAAAATTCATACGTAATGTTGGTGTTTTTCCCGCTACCAAATGTATTTACTGGAATTGCCCTGGGAGTAATGATGGCCATCATGAGTTCCTTATCCCGATTCGTGGTGTCATCAAACAAAGTTGAAAAGAAGGGGAATCTATTTTCCTCGTCAATATAAGGTACCTAGGCCCTATGATCACGAGAAAGACCATTGTAGAAGCTTTGGAAGAATGCCGATCCGGTCTTCATTGGCCTTTGTTCGGGAAGGACAATTATGGCTTCACCAAAATTGAGGGGTGAGCGTGTTGCCGATTCATCGTCCCCGAGCACATGGTCTTCAGCAATTTCTCGTGGGAATTGTTGGGCAAAAAAGTCCCATTGCAAACATTTGTGCATATGGGCATTCAACCACATGTTGATAAACCACCACGGGCCTCCTAGGTTGCCGATGGGTTCGCCAAGCAAAAGTTTCTGAGACACTTGATGAAGAAGATGATAAGTGGAGCTCAGAAGGTATCGGCCAAGAGGAAACCTTACACCATTAGCCAAAAGTTTAGCTGCGGGGAGGAAGGCGTTGGTTGGTCCTACTGATCGACCACAGAAAATAAATTTTTCTAACCACATATTCAAGAATGTGGCATGTTCCTCCGGTTAAGTGTCCGGTCTTACGGTATTCTTGAATGTATCCCGTCCAACCGCCGATGTTGCGGGTATTCACCCTATATTCAGATTTTCTACCATAGATGGAGCCTTCATCGGTAGTTGAAATATCCAAGCCAGTGAGCATGTGGACATCGGCAAGTGTGGGAGAAGTGGGCCATGTCCAAACATAAAAGTGTTTGTTGTGTCTGACCAGAAGTAAGCAGCTGCAATCATCATTGATTCATTCTTCTGCATATCGGCAATAGATAGCCTAATGCATTGGTCTAACTTCCGTTCTGCCCAGTATACTTGCATCGATCTATTAACCCTCAAGTACCAATCTTTCCACCCTTTGGTGGTCTTGGACCAAGATCGGAATGTGTCTTTCCATAAATTCAGAGAGAAATTTTGGGCTCTAAAGGGATTCGTTAACCTCTGCATTAATCAGATCGGTTGGATCTGGGTTGCCCATTGGTCCTAGGCATTGGACATCACGGTGATCGGTTGGAATAACTAATTTGTTGCGCAGTTCCTAAGTTTAAAGGATCCAGGAGAACAAAAGAAAGGAAAAATCACCAACTGTATGGATTTGCAAAAACTAGGGGATCAAAGTAAAAGGTAATGGAAGTGGAGCGAACGCGAGGACGTCGAAGTTGATTGCCATTATCTTGAGGAAGATGGGGCACTGCAGCCGGAGACTTGAGGTTAATATTTGGAGAAGAGTTCTTGTTGGTTGAGGTCGCGCAGAGTTGTTCGTCGAGTCGCCGCCGGAAAAGAGAAAATGTCAAAGATTGGAGTCTCCGAGGGTAGAAGGCGAGTGTTCGGAGGAATCTATTTATAAGCCGCTTGGAGTAGGGGTATTTTGGACTTATCTCTATACCGCGCGCATGTAGGTCAAGGTGGTTCAGATGGATATGGTAACTGTTCGCACGATAATCAGGGGATTGTACAGATGAGTTGATGGCAAGTAATCATGATTTGGAAGAGGTATCGGTACAGGATATTTTAATTCTAAAAATGACAGCATTATCATGTTAAGATCTTGCCGATGGGTTATTGTTTTGTATCTTAACCATAATCAAGGCAAGAGTGGTTGGCGATTGTGCGATATTTCTTGAAGTGCGTGAATCAGATTAGATTTGATTGGATTTGATAATGAGATCAAGTTTTGGCTTGGAGAATGAGTTACGTAATAATCGGCGAAGGCAAGCGTTATCCGGAGTAAATTTGAGCATTAATGGTGTTATACTCCAAAATTGGGGGCATGTGTTGACACCGTTTTTGCACGTGTCAAAATGATCGGAGTGGACTGATCGGCAAGGGAAAGTTACTTGTATACTCGATAACCGATGAAAGCCAGACTTGTAAAGATGGTTGCCGATAGCTGGTGGTGGTCGATGGAAAGGTTGATTTAGACTCGGGCGTTGCCAATGAGGTTGGAGGTGTTATTGTCGATGCCGATGAAGGGAGGCTTGAAGACTACTGCCGATGAAACAGGGAGTATGTCGATGAAGGAAGACTTAAAGACTATTGCCGATGAAACAGGGGAGTATGCCGATGAAGGAAGACTTGAAGACTCTCGCCGATGAAACAGGAGTATGCCGATGGGAAGGAGGACGGTGAGATTTCCATCGTAATTGAGGAGACGGGGAAATAGATAGGAGTTGATTTCCTTTTCTATATTTGTTAGAGTATGACTCATGTAAGAGTCACGTGTTTCCTTAGATATGGGCTTGATGTCCTAGTTGTGTTTGGTTGTGTCTCTTTAGATCAGGGTATAAATATGGAGTGAGGGACAATGTAATAAATATATCAATCAATATCAAAACCAAGTTCTACTCCTATTTACATCTACTTACTTTTGGCTGACTTCATCAATTTGCATATTTTTCTTTTTACGAGTTCTCATTGATTGGCGAGTTGCATTGTCTCGGTCAGGCGACCTTGGCGATTCTCGAGTTCAGCGTGAGTACCTCTTGGCCGTGACTTCCGGGCGTATCGCTGTTGTCAGGACCAAAGTGCTCGTATCTTCATCCTTGTCGATTAACAGGTCAAATCGACTGGCACGCTTTGGATATCGATTCGGGTATTAGCCCTTTGTGTTTGCAGATCCACTTTTGCATCAACAATTACATTTATTATCAAATATATTTTTATAATTTACCTTTTTATGTGGTTAATGTTAATACTCATTTTATAAATATAGTCAAATATAATTTAGATCATGATATTTGAAGCCGGATGTACTACTTGCAAACGTTGAGCGTATTCAATCTATGCAGAGAACGCTTCATACTTGGTTTTTGTGCTAAGGGTAATCATGAGCTTCCTGTAGCTCTTTTGGAAACCATGTTCGTTTGGGCTGGTTTGGCTTATAAGCCATGGCTGAAAGTACTGTTGGCTGGTTTGGTGTGAGAGAAAAATATTGTTCGTTGGCTGATAAGCCACGGCTTATAAGCCAAATACGACCTAGCGAACAGGCCGTAGAACCATTCCGACCACTCTTCTAGCTCATCACATACACATCATAAATACCATTCTAATTCCATTTAGGAGTTCATTTCATCTTATATTTTACACTACAACAATTATTTTCCTTAAATTCTCTGTGATCATCCAATTGGTGCTACTACTATACAACGGATTGTATGGCCAGTCTCTACTGTTGTGTACATTTTTTCTCTCTGGATCAATGAGGTTTGTATACTCCATTCAGGGCTTCTGCAGAAGTAGAAGCCAATAAAGCCCTGTTCCAAAAAAAAAAAGATTTTTGCTGCATGTTCGTCTGACTATCTGCTATACTGTTAGCACCTCCGTTGCTTTATTAATAGCAATTACAGAGAGTGTTAAACGAAAAACGGTGCGTGCTTCTTGGTGGTGGAAGCAATAACACAAATCTGAAAAGGAAAGGCAACCTATCCTCAGTAGCCATCATTCTTCAGCATGTTCGCGATCTCACGCAAGAGTGCTTCCGGGTTCTTCTCCTTCTTCTGGTATGGTGTAGTCCATTCCTGGTACTTGTGCAGACTACCAGTGAAATCAGTGAACAGCCCGTCGACACTGATCTCATTGAGCCAGTACTCATATTCAGCATAAGGGTCTTGATGGAAATCAAAGTGCAGGTATTGGTTCTCATTTCGGAAAGTGTATGGATGCACCTGCAACGTGTTATGATTTACGGCTTCATCAACTACTAACAGAGTAAGACCTGTCGCATGAATGAAGGAAGGTAATTGTGCAATGGGGAAAATGTGCAGCTGCCGAATAAGATCAGTCAGTCACCTGAAGATTGAGAGAATGTGCTCGTGCAACGAGATCGGTGGGCTGTGCTAAGCAGTTATCTTTTGGGTTTGGAGGAACAATTGTATCCTTCCATGGCCCAATCCCGATAACGTAGTTTCTTATGAATTCAAGATAAGAATTTGAAGTTATCTCGTAGTATGACTGCACAATAGGAACTGATCTTAGATGAAGGCTGATGAATTGGAGCCACATCACATGAGAGGAACATGCATGAAAATGTCGGTTCTGACAAGTGACGGTACCTGGTTGGTATCTTGTGTTGGAATTGTTGTGTCATCGATTAGGAACAGTTTGGGAGAGTTTGTCATGTTGGAGATGTAAATCAATGAGGTTGGAGCGAAGGATTGTATGAACAGCGGTTGCTTGAGCCAGTCTTCAGACATGTATTCACCTTTGTAGCCATACTTCAGTAACATCTCGACAAACTTATCCTCGAATTTCTTTCCACCCGACCACTTGACCTGAATGACAAAATTTTGGTGAGAAATGTTTCCACACCAATGTTCGTTATTAAATTCCATAAGCAAAATCTCTTTGTAGTTTGTCATGTCAGAGCTACTTACATGCTGGTTGATGAAGATGGGATTCTTGATCTCAGGGTATATTCCGACTATCCTGTCGGCGTAAAGCGCAATCAAGATATACTCCTCAAACGTAATAATCTGGTACTTCCCTGTAATCCAATAGAAGAACATTGTGAAAGGTCAGTGTTGCGATACATAGTGGGGCCTTGACTGTGTTTTGTTTGCCGAGGGCTATTTTCCTTGTACATAGAATTCTCTTTTCTCTATCTTAATTGAAGGGCAGAGCTCCTGCCGTTATTTCAAAAAAAAAGATACATAGTGGATGGTTGCAATCAACTCAAGATACACATGGTTGTCTCATGTCAGACACAACAGTGAAACTAAGAGAGAAAGCGAAGTCGATGTATACCATTGTATCGTTGGTCCCTGAAACTGAGCCGTTGCTTCACCCTCAGTGATTTAAGCTCTTTAAGAGTAAAGTCCACTGGAAATAAACATAATCCCATTCTCAAGTCAGCAGAAGATTGGCAGGAACACGAGAATCACTACGGAGAATGTTATGAACACATACCAATGAACCATCCGGTGACGTTTTCTCCTTGGACTTCATAGGTCCTCTTCCTGTCAGCAAACTCCGTATGGTATGCAACATTGGTCGTTGCGTCCAGTGTTACATCATGGAAACAGATGAGATGCCCATCCTTTGATGCAAGTATATCGGTCTCGATGAAGTCTGCGCCTTCTTCGATAGCCCTCTGCAAAAACCGATCGCGTATCTCTGAAGATGAAGGTTTATACACATTAAGATACTGAGCTTCAATCTTCAGAGAATCTCAGAATTATTGCCCTGCCATATTAAATATTTTTCATTGTTGCAGCCAATGTGAAGGCGTGTCCGAGGAGCCAGACCATAGTTAGCTATAATACCAATGCAGTTCAGTTTCACGCGCCAATATAATATCGCAATTCAGCACTTGTCATGCCGTTTAACCTTTTGTTTGTGCAAATTTAAGGCAATACCACTTCATTCAGAAATTATTCAAGAAAAAAAGAAGTTGGCGTCAGTTGTTGAGAAAACAAGACAAGAATTTAGTTACCACTTACCAGGTAGGCGGCCGCTGTTTCTTCGGGTAATTCACCATTTGATCCTCGGTGGGCAATGTTGTAAGGTCTAAACGTCTGTATTGGCTTCTTGTGGTTCACATCCAGCTGGCTGTGGCTGTGGCTGTGGGGAGGTGCTGCCGGGTTGGCTTTGGAATTGGATACCCCAATAAGGAGGAGCACAAGGACAATGAGAGAGACGTCGTGCCCTGTCAAATATGCCATCCACTCAGTGCTGACAAGTGACAAGACAAAATCTTTTGACATCAACGGTACACATTGAGGACACAAGATCTACTAGTAGACATGAATTTTCAGTTGAGCACAGAAAGGAATAGGGAATCATCCAGTCTCAGTCATAGACAAAGTAACTGAAAAACAGTGAAATAATAATAATAATAATAAAAGTAAAGAAACTTCTTGTAGACATAGTAACTTGTTTTTTGCTATTCAAAAGGATAGATAGTATGGAGTTGTCAAACTACGAGTATTACTGGGCACTGAGTGTCTGATAAGCATACATACACGAACACTCAGATGAAACTCCACTCTTAATGAAACACTTGTGCCCCGGCACATGTTTGCGAAAAAAGAAACTCCATGGAATGCGAATACAGGAGAAAGAAAGAGAGAGAAGTACAAGAACTGATGTGATGATCGGTAACCGGCCGATGAGGAGCAGCGGGAATTAGATGGGGGCAACAAGAGAGCGAGAAGCACAAGAACTTGAACTTACAGAAGGAAGCCATGCCCCTTTTTCTTGTGCCTCCTGCTCTGCTCTGCTGGGAGAAGAGTTTGCACACCAGACCAGAGCCCTCTAAGGAGTAAGGAGACTTGGCTCGCGTCTCCCCCTCCTCTCTTGCCGTCCCTTGAGCAGGAGCAACTCAGCTTCTTATATGTACTAGTACAAGAAACAGGCGAGGACTGCCCGCCTCGGAATATTCCCGGGGGATTGATTGACCGACTTGTTTCTAGCGATTTGCGACGCAGTTTCTGATCTGTAGCTCTTTTCTGCACCAGGTGTGACTTGTCAGCTGAGCCAAAGGCAACTCTGAAAACATCGCCCCGTTCGCTTGGTTTATAAGCCGTACTTTTCCAGTCAACGAACAGTATTTTTCTCTCACAACAAATCAGCCAACAGTACTTTCAGTCATGCTTATCTGCCGAGCAAACATGGCACATGTGTTTGTATACTCCTCACTTCACTTGAGTTGCACATGCAATGCAACCCGGCAGCCTCTGCACTGCGGACTTGTATTTATTTATTCATTATAAGATACTTACTGTCACTACACACGGCATGGAATCGTGATCATACAGGCTGAAACTGATGGAAGATGGTAACCCCAACGGCATGTGCAAGCAAAGGACATGAAGTGTGAATACAGACACCATGGCGCGTACGCACCGGTGCCGTCGTCTCGTCCAAAACACTCGGTGGCCGGACGCGGTCCCGGCCAGCGTCCTCTTGGCAGCAGCGACAGCGACCGACCGTGGCTCGCCAACTCTGTGTCAGCGTCACCTCTCTCAAGAGCAAGGCGCTGCGACTTGCGAGTCGTGATGCAGCAGCCGTCCAGCCTTTCAGCGGTCAACCAAAGACGCCCACCCATCCCGGCCGTGGCCGTGGCATGCAAGTCCGAGCAGATGGCCCCATCCTAGACCAAATGCTCAAGTCACTCGGAGAAGAGGATCCAACGCCCCACCCCACCCTGACGCTGATAGAGATTGGAAACTCTGCACTTTCAAACATTATAGCTAAGCTATCTTCAGACAGAAAAATTCTCTCTCTCTCTCTCTCTCTCTCGGCCTCCTCTTAAACGTTTGTATATGAACTGAACACTGAAAGATGCAGCATATTCCTCGCCCTATGCGTGTATGATGGGCTTATCATGTGTTGACTGCATGTTTACTTTGAACACCAAAGTTGACGCGTCATAATAAATGGCAACGGCTCCAATACAAAACCCAACACCAAATTATCGTGTCACTGGAACAACATTCATTTTCATTTGTTTGTCAGTTTGTCTGCTATAGTGCACACAAGACCACGCCGCACATACATAATTGGGGGAAGATTCAGCTCTTCCTTCCTTCAATCAGCAATCTATTATCATCATTCTTCAGTCTTCACCCATTTGTCCTGAACCAAACACTCTTCTTTGATGATGTTACTATTATGGGAAAATGAGATACAAGTGTACTTCCTCCATTCCAAATTATAAGACATTTTCACATTTCCTTGCTTGTTCTACATATCTAAACATAGTGTATATAAAGTATAGCTATGCATCTAAAAAAACACAAAACGTCTTATAATTTAGAATGGAGGGAGTACATCACAAACTTGCAACAATTGAAGTGTACTAATCTGAGCAACAGTATTCCCATCCTGATGCTCTTGTCAATATTACTCATATGAGAAAAGATGCAGCTCATGGACATAAAATAAACAAAACTCATCTAGTAAAACTAACTGAAACTCATCTAGTAAAACTAACTGCCCTCAGACACCACGTTCCTGCAGTGCAACATCTTGCTCTTAAGTTTTAATTGTTGAAAATTATGGAGGTAGATACCATCATTCCAAAATATTCATGATACAGGGCCATATTAAAGCAAGATCTAATTTCTATTGCTACCTCACGCCTCAGTTTGCAATGGTCGAGAGGCTATTGACACAGATCCAGTCCTCTTTATGCATAGCAGGAATTCTTGGAACATCATCGAAACAAACTCATAGAATCCAAGTAGAGTAACTCAACAGGGCACAAGCCCACGATATTGACTGCCAAACCACTATGCTTCTAAACAACCCTAAGCCTGCTTAAATGGCCATCAGATCACCAAAGTTCCGCATCAGGAAGATGGATCCCGCAAACAGACCAGCAGCCTTCAGCAGCTTCTGCAAATAAGAAACAGCAGAAAAAAATGCAGTTAGCAACTTAGCATCCAACGCGGTGCTAAAGAAAAACCAAGTGCAATGGTTAACCATGCCCAAAATATTTTCTTATGTGCTATACTAAGTTCATGACAGGACTTTAAACTGCAGACTCAAGTATGCCTAATTCTGTGCGTATTTCAAGTAACATAGGCTACGAAAATGAGCAATCAAGTATTCAACTGTCTCCGAAGATAACACACAAACCTAAGAAAACATTTCATCAGTAACTAGAGATGCTACCATTTGTGACACCTAGGTTGCAAACTTCACAAGTATCACCCAAGCACTCAGGTTGGTACAACAGTGGCAATCATCATACTGAAGATCAAATCCTTGCAGGACATGACTTAGGTGAAATCAGATAAAGTTGTCAACAAACTGCACTGCTTAGAATTGTGATGTCTGGCCCGCCCTTCATCTATGACCTGACCGCCTAGGGAATTTCGGCAGAGATTAGGTCCACGGAGGCCACCATCAGGCTAGCACACCAATAAACTCTAATTAACAGTAACATACAATATGAAATGTAACTTAGATCTAAAATCAAACAACAGAATAACGCATGAATTATAATATACTCACCAATTCTATTTCTATCTCAAGGCCAGACCAGGCACTTACCTATTAATAATAAGAATAAGATGACTACATGCTCGTTTGTAGAGCTAATTCTGCTAGCCCATTCAATTCATTTATCTCATAAACCTATTTATAACGATAGAACAAAAAAACGAGTGCAGTATGTAAGGACACTTCAGGAAGAGGTAGGTATGTGTCTTCTAAATTTTAACAAGAAGCCAAAAAGAACATTTCCTACTCCTAACAGTCAAACAAATGAGACAATAAGTACACGACTAAATAGAATTCCATAGTAAAAAAAACTGTTTGCAAAAATTGTCCTGGACCATAATAATTATGATTCTGATGTCTGAACTTCCTTGATAAAGTGTCCAGCATTAAGCCATAACCTTTTTCTCATTTTCTGCTAGGTTCTAGGCCTTGCTACCTCTAATCACTAATGTGCATGTTGAATTTAGCAGCCTTATTATTATTTCGGAGCGGAAGAACAAGGCAATGAAAATTAGAAAAGAGTAAATAGTAAAGCAAGATGCATAGCATATCACCTCATAATTTGTTCACAAACCGTTTTGCAACCAAAAGTGAGAAGAGACAAAAGCAAGGAAAACAAAACGAACAAAGAAAAAGAGAAAGAGAGGAGGTAGCCCCAAGTGATTCCACCAAAGTACGATCACCATACATCTGTCACTAGCTGCGAATTGGGAAGGATATTACAATGAAATAAAAGGGGGCAGACTCAGTGCCGGAGGCTGCCACATGAGTGGGGCCTAGGGAAGGGAAAAACCGAGGCAGTCTTCCCACCGTAAAATCTGCGGAGAGGCTGCTTCGAACCCGCGATTGCACCAGGCCTGCCCTTCGATATTACAATGAAATCATTAAACGAAAAAGTATGGGGATTTCACTCCTGGTCATTTAGCAACCTCACGACTTCTAGCATCAAACAACAAATTCCAAACGAAAACTGAAAAAGGAAAAGGAATTGGAAGTGAAAACTTCAGTTAGCAGGCATCACAATCACCACGGAAATACCCATCCTAAGTATCTAGTGCCTGATGAAGGTTCCAAAAACTATCTGATTACATCAATTAAACTATGCTATGGACAATCGATTGAAGTTTTAGGAGCAAAAACACACATACACAGAGCTCGCCGCAATAGAGACTGAAATCATATCCATGCAAGCAGAATGAACATGAATCACAGCAACTAGCATCAAACATTCCAAACCGTCAAACATCTCCGCACGTATGAATTGGTACGGCAGCAGCCGCGCGTCGAATCAAATCGCCCACCTCAAACCACACGTCCACAAGGTTTATCGCCACTAGAGCCACGGGCTCGAGCTGCAGTATTTGACACGAACTACCAAAGAGGGGAAAAAAAAAGGGATTCGAACCGCAGTATTTGACACGAACTACCAAGGAGGAGAAAAAAACAAGCTCATGAAGAGGTGGAGAAAGCGGGGTGAGAGGGAAAGGGGGTACGGACATAGTTGAGCGCCCACTGCTCCTCGTCGTTGACCTGCGAGTCCCAGAGGGCCTTGAGCTTCTCGACCGCCGACGACGCCGCCATCTCCGGTCCGGTGAGATCGCCTTCCTCGAGGGTTTGGGTCCGGGGCTTATTAGGGTTTCGCTTGCAGTGTGTCGGTGTTCCTACCTTTCGGTCTCGGCCTTTCTTCTGGAGCATCCTATGTTGATTGGGCCGGGCTATTATTGGGCTGGATGGTCAGATTCCAGTTCGGATACGGGATATGTTATTTTCTTCCAAACTGAGACCAAATCTAAACATATGTTGCGACAAAAATCAAGAGAGCACGCGGCGGTGGGCAGAAATCAAATTTGAGCACATACCAAACTACAAATAACCAAGAGCAACTTCAGCGTGAGTCCTCAAATCAGGACATTTAGGGCTCCCTTTTTATTTCGAAGGGCCTGTTTTTTTTTTTTGCTCTGTTCCAACATGAGCCCTTAAATTCTTTTGATTAACACCGACTCGTCATTCTCAACGCTCTATCTCAACATGGAGAGGACTAAGAGGTAATTATAACAGATAATGAGAGCATTGATGATGGGCACTTTTATTAATATAGGGCATAACCCTAAGAAAAGCGCTAAGCTCCTGCCCCACTTAGGTTTAGTTAGACAAGGACTCAGAGGCTACATCCATCGGACGCACTAGCTCGCCTCAAGTGGAAACGACACAAAGCGAGCCTGAGAGCCAGATCGGATCTCGTGAGGGGTCGTCCGACCTACATGGCTGCGCCCACCCAAATGAGCCGACAAATTTAGTCACAACTCATGTATTTTGCTGTCCAGTTTTCTAAGTCGGCTCACCCCAAGTTACACCAGGTTCTATTCTTCTAATATAATGGCCCCGTTCGACTTGCTGAAATTTGGCTGAAACTGACTGAAAAATACTATTCTGGCTGAATTGTTGTGAGAGAAAACACTGTTCCAGCTGAAAAAAAGCTGAACAAACCGATTTCTAGATAAGCCGAGCGGGACCAATGATGTAAAAAGGCGCCGCTAAGGGCACGCGCAACGGAGGCACACACCCGTGTTAGCCTCAAACAAAAGTAAGCTCCACGTCTGCCGAGAAAAGCCTATCCGCACTGCTCTTCTCCACGCTGCAATCTAGCAGGAAAAAGCACATGCATGTTATCAAAACTCAGGCTGGGCATTCGGTTTAAACCGACAATTCGGTTCGGTTTATTCGGTTTCACAAAAGTTTGGTTTTTAAGAATGAGAAGCCGATCGGTTAATTAGAGAATGCAACACCGCCCATTTCAGTTTCGGTTTCTTACTTTGGTTTTTCGGTTTAAACCGAGAAAGCCGAGCCTACCTCCAGCCCTCGCAGTCGCTCGCATCCGCAACGCGCGGAGCTTCACCTGGAGTAGCAGATGCGCCGCCGGCTCCACCTTCCACTCATACAGACCGCCGCCGCCTGCTCGCATCCGCGACGCGCCACCGTCGTCGCCTGCTCGCATCTGCGCGACGCGCCACCGCCGTCGCCTCCCGTCGCATGGCGTGTGGAAGCAATTGCGCTGCCACAGACCACCGAAAGCACGCCGCCTCGTGCTGCGCCGTGTGTTGCCGCATGACTCGTAGTAGTCGCTTGTCCATACCTTGCCTCGCCCGCCGCCGCTTCTGCACTCGCTAGAACACCTCGCAGTCGCGCCGCCGCTGGCTGGATTTAGGGTTTGGGATGGGGAGTCGGATGGGAGAGGAAGAGAGGCCAGAGGGAGTCAGACGGGTCACGGGAGAGGGGAGACTGCGAGAGGGAGAGGGCTAAGGCCTTACGGGCCTGCCTAGATAGGTACGTCGTGGGCCTTGGTGGGCTGCATCGGCCATCAAACATTGGGGAAGAGGAGACGGTCAGACGGAGATTGCTGTGAGCCTAACTTCGGTTCTTTCGGTAGTTCGGTTCTGTTTAGGTCAGAAACCGACTCCTCAACCGAACACCGAAGTTCCCAGGATCCAAAACCGAAACCAAACCGAAAAACCGAACTACCGACTATTCGGTTCGGTTCGGTTCGGTTCGGTTCGTGTTCGGTTTTTGGTGAAAAAGCGCCCAGGGTGAATCAAAACCACCGCCTTTCCGTCCTTGCTCTTCTCGCTGCGATCTAGCAAGAAAAAGCACATGCATGTCATAGTGCAGACTACTGCTTTCAGCTTTTCTTCTCTCTCACATCTATGAGGCTACTGCTTTTTCTATCACAGTGCATTCTTGGATAGTAGTTTGTCCTCTTTGTCGGTTGAGGCTAATAAGCCTGTTCGGCTGGTGCTGATACGATCGTATACGATCGTGGATTATTATTGTTGGCTGGTTTGGTGTGAGAGAAAAATACTGTTCTAGCTCATAATCCACGATCGTTTACGACCAAGCGAACAAGTGAATAGTTCTTCTACAGGATACCATGGCCATCTGCGAGACCACCAAACAACTTGGAATCTTAATGTACAATTGGAGGCTGGGACAGCACGCCAATATGGAGCGTTGGGGAAGCCTAAAAAAAGAAATTCCATCTAATTCTGAACATATAAGATGTTTAGCTAAACTTGACTAGCAATTTCTATAAAGATATAATGCTTTGAATGGAGATGTGGCCCCGTTCGCTTCGCTGAAAAAATAAGCCGAAACACTGTTTCGGCTGATTTGTTATGAGAGAAAAACACTGTTCCGCCTAAAAAAAAGCTGAAAAGGACAGATTATAAAAGAAGCGAACATGGCCAATCATATATTATAAAATCGTTTTTCATGGTGGATCTTTAGTATTAAGTTTATGTTACATAAATTTATTTCAACTTAGGTGAGAGCAAAAGATTTCATGACTTGGGAGAATTGAAAGTATTGGTGGAATAAAAAGAGCTTATTTTGGTGGAATCCGTTAGCAATCAAGCACTGAGTGGTTTTGTGGATGAATCAAGGGATGAAATTAGAAGTTTATAGACCTGTTGGATGAAACAAGGGATGGAATTACGAATTGGTGGGGATCTGTGGATGAAACAAGGGATGGAATTAAAAATTTACAGGGAAAATTTCAAAAAGCATAGGTTCCGACTCCGCTTGGGATCGAACCCAGAATCTCTTGCCTTATCCATTGGGCCACGGAGTCGCTTGATGTTTGTGGAATGTGGACAGAATTGAACACTGGAAGGCATCACAAATTGCCATGGATTACAACCACCGGACACAGGCCATCAGCACTCGGCAACGCGCGCAGATGCATGGGTTTGCCTCACCAAGCGAACCGCAGGTCGCTCTGCACATGATGATTCGCTCCTTTTTTTTCATGTGTAGAGGAGTCTGTTCCATGCGAGTCTCCTGCTTGGAGATGGGCCTCCGATCTACATGGTAACCTATTCGCAAAAACGAAAACAACATGGTATAGACATGAAAAAGCTATGAGACGGTAGATGATTGGATAAAAATTTAAGTTAAAGAAACTATCCTAGGTGAATACAGTTTTCATGTCTATGATCTACATCAATTAACAAGTATGGGAACTACTCCCTTCGTCTTGAATGCAGGCTGAAAAGTACCGTTGGCTGTTACGAGAGAAAAATAATGTACCATGACTGATAAAATCAAGCGAGCCTAATAAAAGACCATCTTGCCCCTCGCTAATTAGGAATTTAGGATGGGAGTAGTTCAGTTGTTACTTTTCTTAGTTACTAGCCTATTGTTTTGAGTGAAACTAAGTTTAAAAGAAACTGACTTGGAGGAATTCATCAACGGTCAGCACTGAGTGGATGATCTGTGAAATTGAAATTTCAAATCAAAGGGAAAGAACATATTGGAGGGAAGAAAACATAAAAAAAAAAAGCAGCTGACGACTCCGCTGGGGATCGAACCCAGAATCTCTGGTTCCGTAGACCAGCGCCTTATCCATTGGGCCACGGAGTCGTTTGGTGTGGGTGTGACGTAGCTTTCAGTTTTATCAATATTTAACCGCGGCCTCCAAATACTTAAGTTTTGATTTAGTTATTACTATGACGATGAACCTGATTAGCATGGTCAAAATTAGAATGCAAATGGATATACGTAGGGCTTAGAATAAACTATAACTATCAAGCGTGTATTTTATTGTTTATGGATGCATTTCAAACTTTTCGTTTAACATGGAGTTGGAGGTAGTTTTTTAAGTCATATGGTTTTATATTGACTACAATGAAATGGACTCAAACGTGACTTACGATCCGTTTGATTGGAGAGTGAGGTAGAATAGACAGTTCAACAACTGATTTCAAGGACGGGATGGATCCATTCCAGTGTTTGGTTGGAAGGATGGAAGAAATCTACTTTCGTGTTTGGCTAGAGGAATGGGATAGATGACATAGCCGATCAGTTAACCCTGTATGAATAATGGCACTTGGTGCATAGACATCCATACGGGGTTAACTGATTATGTTTTGGTGTTCGGCTGGAGGGACGGATGTGATGTTTGTTTGGTTTATTTGCCAATGATCTGTATAAAGTTTCATAAGTTTTTGAAGCAAAACATGTGGGTATATATTGAGGGACGAGGTGACCATGGTTCTGCTTCAACGGCCACATTATTCCAAGAAGCACACAAAAAAAAAAAAAAAAAAAAAAGGCCGCATTATTCCTGTACTCGGTAAACAGACAGAGCATGATTCTTTTGAGTGTAGCTACCACTCCTCTAGATTGGGGCAAGAGTGACTTAACTACGATGATGATTATTTATCGTCAAAATATGTGTGTGCTTTCTACTCTTGATGTTGTTGTTGGCAACATATATATCTTCCTCCGGCGATCGATCACTGATGACGACCAAGAGATGAAAATTTCCCTAAAAAACCAAGAGTTGAAATTAAAGATAAGTGATGTATATATACGATTTGGCATGGATGAGAAGAATAGGAACCGGAGGCGTCGGGAAGGTTGGAACAGCAGAAAGCGAAACTCATCTTTAGTCTGGTTTGTGCATGCTCTTATCCGGTACCATCATGCAAACTTCGACGCCATCCTTGGCTGCCATTCGGAGCCCCTATACTCTCCGATTTCAGTTTCATTCCCCAATTTGTGTGCACGGCGGCAGCACCGGCAGT